TCTTTAAATCGATACTTTTTCATCATCGTTGAGGGTCAAAAAATAGAGCCAAAAAGGCAGAACAGTCACCAAATAGTGTTGTCGTTATCGCTAATCTCAGCCTTCTTTTACCCTTTTTTTTGGTCTCCATCCTTAGTAAATTCTAGATCAAACTAATCACATTAGAGAAATTGTCGAAATTTTTGGTACTTTCAGCAACAGAGAGTACGTAACAAAAGATTTTTCTTAACAGAGCTGCTTACTAAAATACCTCTTTTCTAAAGATCTTCATCAGCAAAAACTGTTGTACTTCAAAAATAAAAAAAAAAAAATGCAGTTTATTTCTTTCTAAGCTTAATTTGGTACAGAGAAATAAACGACACAGTTAACACCAACTTCTCAAAAAAATGCTGAAAAATTGTTTCCTCCAGTAAAGAACTGTTTTTTTTCAGCGTTCAACTTGTTGATCAAAGTAGAAGGCTGCGTTTGCAATATGATTCTAACAAACTACAGAAAATGTCGCTGATACTTTAGATATTTGAACTGCTGTAACACTGCGCAGTGCATTACGCTGTAACCTACGAGCGGGTAGGGATTAACTGGCAATGAATCCATTATGCCTTAAACTCTTCTCTACTGCCTTCCTACAATTCAATCATTTAAACCTATTTGATGTCAAGTATATTTGAACTTTACTACATACAAATGACCCAATTTTTTTCATGCATAAAGTACTCAGAAAAAAAATTCTCTTAAAAGTAAAACAAAAAAAAAATTTTTTCAAACAAAAGTTTAATTACAGCAATATGTTAGTGTATTATTTGTCTCTAATTTGCATGCAAATATTCAGAAGAAACGAACAACGATAACTAAGCGTAAAAAAAATTAAAAGATAACTGTATCTAAACAGTAAACAGCTGTTCAACTACACAGAAAAAAAACTCTTTTTGAAGAAAAACTTCAAACTAGCTAAATGCTTTGATGAAAAAACAAAGGATCAATTGGACACAGAAGACACTCTGAACAACAACGGACAAAACACAGAGTTTTGGGATACAACAAGCAACATACATGTAGACGACAACCTACGAACACAGACCATCAACAAACTATAGTGTATCAACAGCTTCCTTTCCATCTTTAAAACAACAGTTATTTAGTTGATTTGTATCAATTTAACTGAAAGGAAACTGTTTATGTGAACAAAACACTATAAAATAAAAAAAAAAAAAAAAAAAC